GAAGGAGCGAGAAACGAATCTGATTGGAAGCAGGGGAGGTAGAAGAGGGGATATACACGTGTCGAGGACACTAATCCTCCAGCCATTGACACTAATCCTCCAGCCATCGACCATAAAAGACCAGAATCTATAAAAATTCACAAAGGGAAAAAATTAAAGAAAACCCACTAAAGAAAAAAGAAAAAAAATCAGCCAATCATAATGTAGAACTGTTCACAAAGGGAAAAAAATCAACCAATCATAATGACTTAAAAGGTAATATATATTTTTGATTTGTATATATTTGGTCATTGAGTTTTTTTTCTGTTTATATTTTTCCTTTCAACTTGTTAAACTGTAGACATTCAGTTCTTATAACAGACTACTCCAAGTAAGCCGGAAAAAAAATGACTTAATAGGGTAATATATTTCTCACTTTGTACACATTTAGGCCTTAATATTTTTTTCACATTTAGTCTTTATTATTTTTTTTGTTGCAAAATAAGTCATTATTGTTTTGTATATATTCAATACTTAATACCTGTTTTTTTAGGTTTTTTCTCCCGACATTCTATATGCGATAATCATTAAAAAAGTGTTTAGAGCTATTGATACTTATAACCATTGGTCACCGCTCCCTTGGTTGTTTAGATCTTGTGGTTTGACAAAAGTCTTGTGTTCTGAACATCGTAACTTCTTCATACGATCTCGGATTTTAACGATGTTTATATGCACGTGTTGGTATATGAGTCTATTATAATTTCCATTTAGATTACTCCAGTTAAAAAATGATCTATTTTTACTTACTCTTTTATTAAAAAAAACGTTCATATATATATATATATATATATATATATATATATATATATATATATATATATATATATATATGGAAAAGTGAATATACATTTAAGGGTATATAAGCTTAGATACTCAAACTTACTATACTACGTCATTTTGTATCATACAGTACAATCTAATTGTTGAATGTTCTTATAATTTAACTTCTAACTTGATTTTACTTCCAAAATTTTTATAAATTAAACATTTATCTTCTTCTTACATAATTTTCATTTCCAACTACAATATATATAGCCTAGTAGGTGTTCGGGAAAAAAATGTGATATAAGACAAATATAATAGTGAAATTTCGAATATCTTGAAAGTAAATCAAGTTAATGTTGAAGTTTAAGAACAATATAATGAATATATCAAACAAAATGATGTATTATGGTGTGTTTGGGTACCTAATTTTATATACCCTTAAACGTATATTAACTTTTCCCATATATATATATATATATATATATATATATATATATATATATATATATATATATATATATATATATATATATATATATATTCATAAAAAACGTATAGAATTTTTTAGTCTTTTATGTTGCTACTAACCATGTTTAAATGAAGGTAAGAGAGCATGGGACTAAATGTGTTACCAAACAATGAAATAGGAACCATCCATGACTAAATAAAAATACTAGGACCAAAAGTGTTCTTTTTACAAACCACAAGACCAAAAATGTAGAAAGTCGACATTGTAATAATCTTATTTTCCGTTACGCAGTAGAAAGTCGATATTGACATATTGTGCCATTGCGATAATATTCTTAAGAGATTATGCATTGTGATAATAATCTTATTTTCATTGTGATGATAATATATATATATATATATATATATATATATATATATATATATATATATATATATATATATATATATATATATATATATATATATATACTAGCCGTCTACCCGCGCAAAGCGGCGGGGCACGTGAGTTCTTTCGGTGATATGTTTCCATTACAAAATTGTTATGTTAAAAAAAAGTACATGTTGAAGACAATATAATCAAACTATGGTGTTATTTGTTACATCATGCATCAAATAACCAATAAAAAGCAACCAGTCAAGACGACACAAAATATTAATCGTGCAATACTTCTTTATATACCACATTTGCTGTATAAACCCCATCACCTTTTGAATTTTCGTTAGGCTTTACTAATACTTTTGTATTGCAACGTGAAACCCCTCTGGACAATGCAACATAAAGTTGTCCATGCGAGAATACTGGTTCTGGAAGATAGATACCTACATATGGAATTGTTTGTCCCTGAGCTTTATTGATTGTCATTGCAAAGCACAATCGAATAGGAAACTGTTTCCTCATTAGAGGATCGATGGTTGCTACTAATTGCTTGTAACTGGTATTGGTTTCATATCGATGGATGTGGATTCGCATATGAAATCAATTGTGTTCGCATCTATGAAATCAGTTCGCATATGACAACAATTGAGTTCGCATTTGGTTTTGTGGGTCAAAACAGTTCGCATAAGAAGTTCACGATTTGTTTGAGGTTAATTGATTTTGATTTCGCAAGCTTGGAGTCGGAGATCTGGATTGTGTTCGCATCTATAGAATGCGAGGAGAATTTAATGGTGATATTCAGTTCGCATTTGGTGACACAAGTACGTGGTTGATGATTTTTGGTTGGTTCGCATTTGAAATTAGTGGGTTTCGCATTTGGCTTCGTATCTGGGTTTCTCAAACAACTGAAATGCGAATATGAGACAACTGATTAATTTCTCAGTTAATGCGATGAAATGCGAATGAACTCAAAGACGGATGGATGCAAGATGCGAAGAATTTGAATGAAAATGCGAAGTTTTTAATGTATAAATGCGAATTGGGGAAGAAAGCTTAGAGTTTCGCATTTGGCACCTGATCTTTTCAAGAAATAATATAAGTGGTCCAACTTCGCAAAATGGGGTCATTTAATCAGAAAATCGATCATTCTTCAAATATGACATTTAATCAGAAAATCGATCTAAAAATGAGACATTTGGTGTTTATCGATTTTTCAGGGTCGACGGGTTGTATGAAAAGCGAAGGCTGAGTAATTGAAAATTAGAGGATCGATGGTTGCTACTAATTGCTTGTAACTGGTATTGGTTTCATATCGATGGATGTGGATTCGCATATGAAATCAATTGTGTTCGCATCTATGAAATCAGTTCGCATATGACATCAATTGAGTTCGCATTTGGTTTTGTGGGTCAAAACAGTTCGCATAAGAAGTTCACGATTTGTTTGAGGTTAATTGATTTTGATTTCGCAAGCTTGGAGTCGGAGATCTGGATTGTGTTCGCATCTATGGAATGCGAGGAGAATTTAATGGTGATATTCAGTTCGCATTTGGTGACACAAGTACGTGGTTGATGATTTTTGGTTGGTTCGCATTTGAAATCAGTGGGTTTCGCATTTGGGTTCGTATCTGGGTTTCTCAAACAACTGAAATGCGAATATGAGACAACTGATTAATTTCTCAGTTAATGCGATGAAATGCGAATGAACTCAAAGACGGATGGATGCAAGATGCGAAGAATTTGAATGAAAATGCGAAGTTTTTAATGTATAAATGCGAATTGGGGAAGAAAGCTTAGAGTTTCGCATTTGGCACCTGATCTTTTCAAGAAATAATATAAGTGGTCCAACTTCGCAAAATGGGGTCATAAAAAGACAAAAGTGCAGAATTTTCATTTCGCATCCCTGTAGTCTTCGCAAAATGGAAAATTTTACCCAGTTTCGCATTTGGGGTAAATTTTTTTGAGAAATTGGAATATTTTCAAACTTTTTTTCTTAAAAAAACACATTGTCTTCGTCTAAGAGAGGGAGAAAAACGATTAGGGTTTATAAGGGAAATACTTCATGGCAGTGGGATTTATAGCAGGGTTTATAAGGTGGAGAGAACAAACACACGTCTGCTATGAGATATTTTAATCAGCTGCAAATGCAACATTTAAAGGATATTTGTTGAAGCGTATTAGGATGAAAAGGTTTTAAATTTTGAATGACCATGAAATTAGGATTTTGCTGAGAAATATAAGGAATCAAAACAAATTTAAAATTTAATATTATTTTATTAATGGTTGTTTGTAATATTAGCTTACTCGTTTGTACGTCTTAAAAAAATAATATTATTATATTCAATCTATTTATAGAAATAGTTAGATTTCTTTTATAAGTAGTAAAGATAAAGATATATATATATATATATATATATATATATATATATATATATATATATATATATATATTGCAACCTCAGGTCCATATAGAACCTCTTCAAAGATCCCACATGTTGAGCCTAGGGCTCTGATACCAAATGTTGGAACAACCCCTACAACCTTTGAACAATAAGAAAAAAAGAGAACAGGTTCCTTATTGTTGCTGCAGCACACGAAAAGAAAATAAGAAGAAACAGATGGAGACTTTTGTTTATTCTGGACTCAACTACACTTTATTAATCAAAAGAGCTGGCTATAAATAGCCTACAAACAACCAACGGGAATAAACAACCTAAAGCCTAAAAACTAGCCATTACTCCTAAAGAAAAGCACCTACAGTGACCTAGTATATCCACACGTTTTCTCTATATTTGAACTTGATCAAAGCTATTTTATTCAAACATTAAACAAATAATCCATAAACTAACTATTTGACTCCTACCCATTATTCAAATCAGCCCATTATATCAAGATTACCCAACAATCAATTTCAATTCAATTTTAAAGAAGATTACTTGCTGATTTATCATTGATTATATTGACTTAAAAAAATCTCAAATAATTAACAATTTAGGATATGCAAATTTCTAGAAATTTGCAATATTATATTATGGAATTGAAATTAAATAAATGATGTTGATTGTTTATTTTTAGGGATTAATTTAAACTTAACATATTTAAAGATTACGATTGCTGGAAATTGATGGAAGTTAATATGTATACAGAATTAAATTAAATTAGGGCAAAATAGTCAATTAACTTTATAAAAATATTAGAGTCCCAAGTGTCCCTTATAAAAAGACAAAGACAGCCTCTTTTGTTAGAGAGTAGCTATCATTTCTTCCCTTTAGAGAGTAGATATCATTTCTTCCCTTTAGCTGTTTGAATAATTAACTTCAAAAAGAACTATGGTTTATTAATATAGTAAACCCCAGAATGCTTTCGGTTTTAGTTTGATTTAAGTTACATACGATACATACGTACATAAAGATTTCAAATTAATTAAACATTGAATCCTACGTAAATATTTGTGATTTCCTGCCGAAGACTGTCAATTTCGGTTTGAGCATGAATTCTTTCTTCAGCATGAAGTGAAGTTAAACATTTCTCTCTCGTTGATATCTTCCTCTCAATCGATTTTATCTGCATTTCAACAAATAAAACCCTTTTTTATCAATTACCAATGGTTATCCCATACAACATGATGATATTTTAATACTTATTATTATTATTATTTTTTAACAACTATGACATTTTAAGATGCCCCGACCTTTCTGTATGGCCACCTTAATAGTCCATGCTTACGGCAAATTTTCTTGATTACAGTTGGGCAAACGCGTATCTCCTTCGCAGCTACTTCTATCGGAATATGAAAGTAATCGACAAGATCTTTCATAGTAAGTTTTCCTGTCCGTTCCCTCTGCTCAAAAAGTTTAGAAACTAAAATACAAGCATGTATTATGGTAGTAATCGTGGAAAAAGAGATCCATTGATGATAAAAAAACCTGCATTGAAAGGGTTTTCTGGTTATTAAGTCTTCCTCTACTGGTCCCCACATCTGCTTGGTTAGTTTGCTGATCACCTGTTTAAGAAAAAAAAGTGTTAAATATCCTAAAACGTTCATCCATAAAGTTTGTTAGTTCGTTTATATTTAGGGTTTATTGCAATTAAAGAATGTGAAACGAAGCAAATGCATGGCTCACTGATTGAATTCATTTTGCTCATGCATGCATGGCTATACTCTGTTCTTGTTCTCTACCAAACCCTAAAACTCTTCAAAGTTAAGAATCTTGATGGTCGATATCAAAAATGTCAGCGTAAAAAAGTCGATATATAGTGTTGAATATGGAACCTAAATTTGGAATGAGATCATCCGTGTCTACATTGTGCTCCCAATCGAACCCAACACATACAGCTTCATAGAATGAAGAAAGCGGATCTTGTAACATTACATGACCCTTTGTTTTTCGCTCTTTGCAGTATTCCACGAGGAATTGTTTCACTCTACTTGTGGTTTCTTTGCAAAAACTGATCAAAAGATACACGATATCATTCAACAAGTAATGGAAGTTGTAGTAAAGTTAATGACACTTACTCGAACATTTTGTACTCATGGCCTTGGTTCGTTGTGTGATCAATACTGTACTTATCTAGAACAGCATGACAAATCAAACCAAGTCTTCCATGAACCTCAAGCTTCGTGATATCAACACCTAATCAGAAGTTAAAATTAGAATAAAAACTACGTGAATAAACCAGTGAAATTTAACCATGAAACACACATAAAGCAAACCATTAGTATGTATGATTTCTCTAAGAATATGACAGCAACTGCAAGTATATGGAGGCACTTGCAATGGCCAGGATGAAAGTTGAATCGGGTTTCCAAAATCATTTGTTCCGTTAGCGGTATTAACACCAATGTTTGTCTCATCACAAGCCCGAGATGGGTCCGTTTGGAAACCTTCTTCATGCGTCTCATTCCCAAGATTTAATGGATCGAAAGATGAATCATTGGGTTGAACGTTTTCAGAATCAATCACCGGTGACTGAAATGTTGCGGTGGTGATCGGAATTTCGTTTTGTTGCAAAGGGGTTAGTAATTCGGAGAAATTTGGTGGAGGGAAATCATCATTATCACACATGAGATAGTGTTCGAATGCTTGGAGATTGTGGTTCGATGGTTCGTTATGAGAAAGATTGGCATTTGATTGGGCCATCTGTTGGTGTTGGATCGTGGTGGATGCTTGGCGGCGCCTGGGGTGGGAACCACCAAGCGCCGCAGCAAAGGAACGACTATGAATTCTCAGGCGCCGGTGAAGGAGTCGGGAAAATGGAGACGGAAAGCTTATTGATTTGGAGTGTAGCGACAGGGAATGAAAAGAAAAGGCGGGAAAGATAAGGCAGTTAAATACCGTTATATGAAGTGCCTGGCTCTTGTTTCTTTTTCGTTTTTTACAAAAAATTTCATTTTCAGTCTAATTTTTAAGAAATAGAATTTATCGGATACATATTTTATTAATTCATTTACAAATTTGATGTAATGACGGTCAGGAATTTAGGCATTAGTGTTTGAGCTTTTATCTTTATCATCTTTTACTTGGGTCATGGCAATTTCGTTTAAGATAACATTTTGTAGTGGTGATCTTTCAATACCTAAGGATTTATTTAAAAAAAAAAAAAAAAAAAAAAAAAAAAAAAAAAAAAAAAAAAATCTAAAGTGTTTTCCAAAATATAAAAAACTTTTATATTTGTTAAAAGAAAATATTTTTAATCAACTTTTTGATTTAGATCATAATTCGAGTGTCCTTGTTCCAAATGTTATTTATCGTGTGAGCTTCAACATTAAAATATGAAATAAGCATTATTTTAAGACACTATTAGATTGTTTTCAAAATAAATAGAAAGAAAAATAAATAGAAAGACTAGTATGTCCAACATTTAATGGCAAAATATGTAACACCACATTTAGCAGTATAAGTTATGTCCCTCTAATTAAATAATTTTTTTGAAATGTACAAATTAAAAAATAATAATTAAATTAAATATGAAATTAATAAACTAAATTATTGAAGTTAATTAAACAAGTTTAAATTAGTAAAAGACTAAAATTTTAAAAATGGTCCTTCGAGTTTGTTGAATATTACACTTTCAGAAAAAGTTTTCAGTTAGTATTAACTTTTCTTTATAGTTTCAATTTTTGTTCAATCGATCAACCCCAATCAAATCTAACTGTTGGTTAATTATCCCCCCCCCCCCTCTTTTGTTTTCTAGCTACGAAGCCATAGTTAAAGTATCATCCATCCATCCAGTGTCGGAGCTATTGTCTGAAATCATACAAACACAAGTTGTAATCAGGGTAAAAATTCCCTATTGGGAGTGTCTCACTCTCTCTCTCTTTCTCTCTCTTTCTCTCTCTCTCTCTCTGTATATATATATACACACACACACACATATATTGATGCTACATCGTCTCTAGCCACCTGCTCTAAGGATGTGCTTTTATGCCGGAGGGAATTTGTGATGTCACAACAGACAAGGCCGTTAGAGCCGCCCCAGGGACTGGGCCTCGGGAGCAGACTCCAACGATCAAGTTAGATCGATTTGATAGATGATATGGTATTGCTTCGCTTGAGAGAACTATTTTTGTACTGGTGGTGGTGTATACGGATGAAGGCGGAGGATGGCAGCTGAGCCACCCGTCCGGAGTCTAGTGTGGCGGCTGAGCCCACAGAAGAGTCCCCTTATATGGAGAAAGCACTATTTAATTTATAGGTGACAATTAGGTCAAGGGGAAGTAGGACATGCCTTATGCTAACCCAATTCATGCCCAGCTAGCAAGGAGCTAGGCAAGGCCGCCTAGGGGTCCCGGGCGAAGCTGGCTGGCGCACATCAGGCAAGGATGGCGAGCACACATTAGGAAATGTTGGCAAGGGAGTGCCAGACAAGGGGACACCAAGAGAGCCACAGGCAAGTCTGGCAAGGTTGTGCCAGAACGGGTCGATAGGAGAATCCCAGGCAAGGCTGGAAAGGGAGCGCTAGGAAAGGCTAATAAGAGAGTATCAGGCAAGGTTGGCAAGGGAGCGTCGAACAAGGCCGGCGCACCAGAGTTGTCTAGGCCATGCTAATGGACCTGATATCATCATATCACCCGAATCCGACGTTATTGGTATGCGGTCAATGACATTGGACTGTACTCAGTCATATAAATCGTGTGTTATCATTTCCCCCAAGTCCGATGTGATTGGATTGCTGACAATTGGATTGGACTACAAAAATCACTAATGCATTAAATAATAAAGAGAATGATCGAACCTCGCCCACGAGAGTCGTCGTGATGGGTAATGAGCCAAGCATAAGTTGGCTTAACGATCTTTTCTTATTAGGAGTATGACACAGTCAGTGAGATGCAACATAGTTATTGTTGTCATTATGCAGGGCAAGGCTGCTAATGATGTTATGCCGAGCGGGGCCGCTATGCGACAATGATGTTGATGAGGTGTCGAGCCAATGTAGCTAAGAAGCGTAAGCTCGCCATTCACTCCCTGAGACTGTTATTCAACGCAGTCGTTGTTATAGTCACGCAGAGATGAAATGTTACCGATAACCATCTACATAGCTTGCTTTATGTGAGCATTGATAACCATCCTGAAGGTGTTTTCTGCATGGCTATACATAGTTGGATTTCCCCTAGTCTGATGTGGGTACGTAGGTAGTCAAATCAGACTATGATGAATAAGGAAAGGTTGATATATAAATACATAATGATGTTATTGGAATAATATAAAGTAGCAAGACTCTTGTCTGAGATGTATGTTGTCAAACCGATAAGCTTTAAGGTTGTTGACCATATAATAGGTGACAGTGTAACATCCTGAAAATCAGGTAAAGCAATTTAACCCTTCCTTTTTGTCAAGTTGTCAAGATTAGTCCCTTGAGTGAGTTCTTGTAGCAAATGAGTACACTGAGCGTACTAGGGCGTACGCTGCGCGTACTCATGCGCTTAAGTTGGACGCGGACTCGCCTGGGTACACTGGGCGTAGCGGGCCCAGATGCAAACCCTAATATTTGGCTTGTGCACTATATAAGGGACGCTAAGGCTCATTTCTCAGCCTCCATATCAGAGAGTGAAACCCTAAGAGAGTCTTCCATCGTCCTTAGCTTGAGTGCGAGTGTTTTGGAGCTAAAAGTGCCTTGGTGTGTTAGTGAAGAAGAAGGAGAGGAGCTTGTGGAGGCTAGGGCTTGAAGTGCAAGTTTGGATCTGAGATCTTCAGAGGAAGGAGCTTTATCTAGAGGTATAAAGTTCAAAACTTTTGTAACACCGTAAATTTTAAGACAATTTTTCACATTTTAAAACCACATTTCCAAATACATTCATTACTAAAATCTCATTGTATCATGCCATTTTTCACAAAACATTTCCCAAGATTAAATGATAATAAACTTCGCGGGTGTGTGTACAGATCATGGCGGCGCCTTCCCGCGATCATCACCGGTACCTGAAACACATAACACATAACACTGTAAGCATAAAGCTTAGTGAGTTCCACATAACACATAACACATAGAATAATTCAGTGCAAAACATCACATAAATACTATACAATAACTCTGTCACATAACTCTAATTACCACTCAAGGTAAAGTATAGTGAGAAGACTCACCTCAGATGTCTCGGTAAATCCCTGACGCGGTAGCAGTATAGTCTAGCCTCCGCCTAATCACATAAAGTAAGATACGCTCATCAATATAACTCTCGAGACTAGACCCAACCTTCTCTTAGCATCCTCAGATGGGTAAAATACCATTTTACCCCTCTCTTGACTCAAAGACCCCATTGTTGACCAATCCCTAAAAGTGAACAAAGTCAACGGTCAAACTTTGACCTGCCTCATCGTGTGTACTTAGGCGACTCGGCAAGTCTACCCGTGTCCACTAACTCTCTAGTCTCGCTTGGCATGTCGAGTCCCTCCCCTTGCACGACGAGTCACACCTGGCACGAATCGTGGGGCCACACCGACTCAACTTGCCGAGTCTCAAGATCAACTCGGCGAGTTGCGCCCTGAACTCCAGTCCTCTTATCCCTCTCTGACTCACTGAGTTATTCCCCCAACTCGGCAAGTCTACCCACTGAGTGATTTACGGGAAACCCTAGACCTACTCGCCGAGTCTGCCCTTGGACTCGGCGAGTCCATGCCATGCACAAATTCAATTGACCTCCTGAGGTCAGATCTGTTCCTTTGATCCATAGATCTGACCTTCCCAAGCCTGATAAACACGTAAAGCTGGAATCTTGACACTCATGGGATGTCTAGGAGGTTTCACTTGGTGATTTAGCCCCAAAATAACATCCTAAGCTCAATACCTCCAAAGCTCAACATAAAGCAAGCTGAGATAAGCTCTTTAGAGAACTATAGGTCCAGATCCGAAGTCTCAAAGCGAATAGGGGCCATATTCTCACAATTTCTTCCATTAAAGGACATGAAAACCCTGCATATATGGATTCCTTCAACAAAACAGATAAAGTGGCGATATAGTACCTCAAAGATGAAGTCTTTTGCTCGAAATCCATAGATGCACCACCTCCTTGGTCTCCTCTAAGCTGGAAACACTTCCTTCTTGCAAGAATCAACCACAAAGATCAAGAAATGGCTCCTTTCCTCTCACAATCGCTCTAGCTCTTTTAGGGTTTCTCTCTGGGGTTTGGTAGCTGCAATTGATGGCCCTAAGGGCCTTTAAATAAGTCCCAAACCTGGGAAATTAGGATTTCATTGAACAGCGTGGACTCGCCGAGTCCAGTCATGAACCCGGATGAGAATCCGCGACCTTACTCGGCGAGTCTAAGCACCAACTCGCCGAGTCCCTTCAGATCCTCCAAAAATAAAAGAATAGAATAATATACCTGGGAATCCGAATGTTACAATTCTCCCCCGCTAGAATCAGACTTCGCCCTCGAAGTCTTACTCTGCAAATAAATCTGGATACTGCTCCCGCATTTCTTGCTCCAGCTCCCAAGTCAACTCTGACCCTTTCCGATGCTGCCACTGGACCTACACCAGAGGCACCTCCTTGTTCCTCAGAACCTTGATCTTCTGATCCCTGATCGCTACCGGTCTCTCAACATAGTTCAGGCTCACATCCACCTGAATATCCTTTAATGGTACCACTGCCGACTCGTCGGCTATACACTTTCTCAGCTGTGATACGTGGAAGGTGTCATGAATCTGACCCAACTCTGCAGGTAGCTCCAAACGGTAGGCTACCCTGCTTACTCTCACGATCACCCTGAAAGGTCCAATATATCGAGGCCCCAACATGCCCCTTTTCCTGAATCAGATCACTCTTTTCCAAGGAGAGACCTTCAAGA